CCCCCCGACTCCTGACCCCTCTCGTGCACAGGCGAGCCGGCGCGAGGCGGAGGCGTTCCAGCAGCTGTGCCTCACGCGGCAGCTGCTGGAGCTGACGGGCTCACAGCAGTGGGACGCGGCGCTGCAGGTGCGGGCACAGCGCCACAATCCAGGCGGCCAGCCCGCCGCGCCGCATGACGGGCTGTCTGTGCAGTGGCGGGCGCGCATGTGCACGCTTCTCCCCCAGCTGCGCCGCACGTTGCCGTCCTCCCGCCCGTCACGGCGCCGAACTGAGGCGACAAACCTCGAGCCACGCCCACGGCGGCACTACGAATTGCAGCGCCCTCCGCTCGGCGGTCAGCCTGCAGCCGCCGCCTGATCCCTCAACCGACCTCGCAAAACCGACCTGCGCAGGTGCTGGCCCAGCTGAGCTTCATACCCTCGGAGCGCGCGCGCGTCGAGGCCTGCAAGGCCGAGGTGCGCCGCCTGGACGACGCGGTGCGGCAGCGCCTGGGTGACGTCATCGAGGCCGCGGCGGGCGCGCTGCTGGGCGTGCGGGCGCGCGCGGACGCGGGGATGCTGGGGCTGCTGCGGGAGCGGGCGGAGTGCCTCAAGGTGTTTGTGCTGGACCTGGACCCGTCGATAACGCCGGCCACGTTCATGCACGTCAACGGGTGCCTCAGGGGGCTGTAAAATGGGCCAGGGAGGGGCCGCTCCACATGTAATTAAGCGCCGCGCGTTGGCGTGGCTGGTGCTGCTCTCGACATGGGAGCGCACCAGCCTGATGTCGTGCATGGAAGCATCTGGCTGTGCCGCGCGTGCTGCTCGTTCTCCGGCCACCGTCCGCGTCGGCACGCCTGTCATCCTATATCAATTCCTGAAGCGCGCACCACACTTGCACAGCATGTAGGTCAGGGGCTTGTAGGGGTGCAAAGCAACAAGCACTTCGCGTACGTCAGCTGGGAATCAGGAACGTATCCGCCGCTGCGACAAGCACGGGCGCACACACCTGCCATTCGCACCCCCGCGCCGCCCGTCTCAGCATCGCGCGAAAAGGTGGATGTGTTTCTTAAGCTCATTATTATATAGACATGAACTGTCTTTGCATCAAACCTTGAAGCTCCCTGAAGATCCTGGAGTGGTGCGTAGCACTCGCGCGCGGGTAGGCTTTGGTGGGTGTCTCTTAGGTGGGCCCGGCCAGGCCAACCTTGTTTGTCATTTCCATCAGCGTCGCTCTATATCAGCATCTTGAGCTCCTCGATAAACCACATTCCTCTTAGCTTTGAGCTCCCGCTGCTCGATCTGCGGTCCGCGACTCGAGGTGGGTGCTCACGACGCTTACTATGCCTTTTATTTACGTTGCACGACACCGGCTAAACATGCTTGGCTCCGCAGGGCGCGGGGCACAGTAGTGGCGCTGTGGCCACAGCGGACCGGACATTCCATCAAGTAGCGAGTTATCGTGTTTTTGCTTGAGACGAGGTGCAGGACGCAGGCAAGCATCGCTTCTGGTGAGCACCATGGATCGGGTGCACCGCGCTGGTTGGCTCGCATGAGGCCTTCCCCTTGATGCAATAGGCGGAGGAGAAGCTGACGCTGCGTTTTTCGGCCACCTTGCCCCCCGCAGACAAGCATAGAGGCGCTGCGTGGGGCGCAAAGCGTTTCTGCGCCGGCGGCGCACCCCTGTGGATCGTGCGGCGCCGGCCATCGCGCGAAGTGGCTCCAGGTGGTTGATGGCCAGCGCGCCGCTGGATTCAGTATCCTGCAGCAGGAATACAGGAGCGGCGAGTACGCAACAGCCACGGCAGGCGTACGAGGGCCGGGCTCGGTAGCGCACGCCCATCGCCGGCGCGCGGCCACGCGCATGGCCAGCGCCGACGCCGCCCCAGGCGCGTCTGCCGCCGCGCCGCAGGGCGGGATGGCGCCGCCTGCATCGGCCAGCCAGCAGGCACAGGATTTGCGAAACTGCGACGAGGGCGCGTCGGGGCGCTGCCAGGCCTCAGCGAGCAACGGCGACGTCGTGTCCACCATATCCAAGGAAGCCGCGCCGTCGTCTCACGCTGGCGACGGACCAGCGCCGCAACCCGGCGGCGGTGACGAGACTAGCGAGGGCGCCAACGGCGCACCAGGGCGGCGGCGGCGGCCGGCAGGCCCCCGGCAACCCAAGCGCCGCGACCGCCACAGAAGGCAGGACAGCGACAGCGATCGAGAGGACAGCGGCAGCAGCGAGGGCGTCGGCGCGGCCGGTGCCAGTGGCGGCGAGGAGCGGCTGATGTCAGTGGGGACTGCTGAGTGCACGCCGTCGGGTGCGGACTTTCCCATGGGGGGTCGTTTGAACCGTTCGTCGTCGCCGGCGGCACAGTGGGAGGGCGCGAGGGAGGACAGCGCGGGAGGTGAGTCGGGGCGGCGGCGGCATCAAAGCCCCAGCTTGAGGGGGAGCGGAGCGCCGTCGCGGGGCGAGGGCAGCCGGCAGGCGCCACCGGCCCCGCACGAGCCGCCAGACGCGGATGTGAGTGCCTCTGAGCCGTCGGCGGCGGCGGTCTCTTCCTGGGCCTCGGCGGCGATGGCGGGCACGTCTTCGGAGGACGGCGGTGGCATGCATGGAGGGCGCAAGGCCCGCAACGGCCTGCGGGGGGCTGCAGGGGGGCCGGCGCCTGTTGCCAATGGGCGGCACAGCCCGGGCCCGACGCAGCCGCGCGCACAGCCAGCGGCGCAGCAGCAGCCCAAGCAGCGGCCGGCGTCGCCGGGCGCCCTGGGTAAGCAGAGCAACCCGCCGCGATCGCCAGGGCCAGCGGCGGCCAGGACGCCCAACGGGAAGCCGCCGCCGCCGCCGATGAACGGTATTGTGTCTCCAGGCCGCGGCGGCGGCGGCAGCGGCGGCGCATGCGAGCCCGGCGAGTGGGATGGCTCCCTGCCGATCCCCCTCACGCGCGACCTGCTGCGGCGGTTTGGCCTGGAGGTGGGGCCGCTCAACGGCGCGCTTCTGCCCGACCAGGCGCGGCTGCGCGAGCACCTGGCGCGGATAACGCCGGAGGTGCTGCCCGAGGCGCTGCTGTGCCAGCTGGCGGCGGTTGTTGGCGGTGGCGGGGAGGACGGGGAGGCCGCGGCTGCGGTGGCTGCCGCTCTCCAGCGGCGGCAGCAGCAGCAGCAGCAGCAGCAGCAGCAGCAGCAGCAGCAGGCTGCCAAGCACGAGCACCCGCGGCAGCCGACCGACCCGCGTCAGCACCTGCACCAACAAACCAGCCCCCGCCACCACCATCACCACCATCACCACCACCATCACGAGCAGCACGGCGAGCACACCCACCATGAGCGTCTCGGAGGCGCGCGCCGCCAGGCGCCCGACTTCGATAGTGCGAGTGTCCTGTCGGAGCGCTCCGCGCCGCCCGCGCCCGACGCGTCCAGCGCAGAGGAGGGGTGGCAGCCCGTGGTCAGCCGCCGCGCGGCCAGCCGCGCGGCGGCGGCGGCCGCGGACAGGAGCGACACGATGTCGGACCCAGGGACGTACGCGGGACGCGAGGCCGGCGGGCGGCGGGCGCAGGGCGGGCGCGGGCAGCGCGGCGCGCTCGCGGGCGGCCGCGGCGCGGGGGCGCGCGGGGCGGGGCCTGCGGGCCAGAACGCGGCGGGGG